TTGGATATCATATGACCACTTTATGCTTGCATTTGACCTTATATGTAGTGCTGAACTTACATTTGTATTGCTATATTATGGGTTTGTTGCATTGCCTTTATTGTGCTAGCAGCTATCCTATTTTTTGCGCTCGCCTTATATCTTGCGTTAAATTAATTACCCCTGCCCTAGAGAGATCAGCAAGTGGAGTTTTTTTTTTTTTTTTTTTTTTGAACAAAACAACCCATAGCATTGCCCTGGATGGACAAAGCAACAGATGCACTTTGAGGACATAACTACTCTTACAAAACCAGACACCTTACATGCTTTTGTCATTTAAATCTTTTGCGAATTGCATTCCTCATATTCACTTATACAGAAGGCACAAATAAAATGAGAAGCCAATAGTTCAATAGTAATGCACATAAATATCTGAAGCGTTGTTTGGTTTTCATGGTACACTCTTCAAAGAAAGTTAAATTATCACTAAATGTCACACACACTAATAGGGATTTAAGCTGGCATGAAATAGAATTATTCTCTGCAGCAAAGTATGAACATTCAAACGCTGGTACATCATCTGACAATTTAATTGATGCAGCAGATAAAGCAAAAGTAGCTTTTGTTTTGAAATTTGCCATGGGGTCATGCTACTTGCAGAAGAAACAGAAAAGATGGCTTCAGACACTGCGCCAAGCCAGTTATTACAGTAAATCAGCAGCTTTTGCCAGCAGAGTGTGTGTTCTATAGCTATGCCAAGTCTGTAGTCTGCCTTCCAACTAATACATTTCCAGCTCTTCCAAGATGGAAGGCTTCTATTCCACTGCAATACCAATGAGCAAAGGGATTCATTTAGGTTAGCAAAACTAGGCAACATGGAGCATATCACAGAATAAAAAATATGTTAAAGTGACACTATCACTATTAATTTGACAACGGACTAAAAACAGGTGCCAGAAGCTGAAAATAGAATGTTCCTTGATTCTGGGGCTCTCAGGTTTAATAGGAAATGCAGGAAACCTGTGGCACATACTACTGGACAGTTGTGTCAAAAAAAATACAAATAGCATTAAAGTGGTAGTAAAGTAGTAAAGCCTATAATAAGGTTTCCATGTTGATACAGTAAATATTTCCTAACACAAGCAAAGGATTTCCCAGCACACTTACCAGCCAGCCTGCAAAACAACCAAATTGGCTCTAACAGTATACATTAAAAGCAGAGGGTTTTGTTTGCACACATTTACAAAATATATGTGTAAGCCACAGTGCCCACGCCAAGGGACCTCTGTATATACTGCTGTCCTAACTCTAAATTTGCAGAGCCTCCATAGTAGGAGCACATATATAATAATGGATAGATTAAGGGCAGGGAGCACACCCCTCTTTAAAAGGCAAAGGGACACACGTGACATCCAGCAAGAGCACAATGGCATCCAGTGAGTCTCCGAATTTATTTCATCTAACTGAACAAAAAAGTGGAAACCACCCCAACCTAGGGCATGGCATGGTTACTGCAGCTTATGCATACATTTGCCAATGTGTGTAAACATAACCCTCTGCTTTTAACGTAAACTGTTAAACACGGCCGATTTGGTTGTTTTGCAGGCTGGCTGGTAAGTGTGATGTGCACTGCCCTTCCATATGCACCTTGCTAAAAAAGCCAGTTATAGGTTGGGGCGGTTGTCACTTTTTTGTAAATATTTCCTAAACATGCACCAGCTAGTAGACATTTACTTTAGTAGCAGTCACACCACCAGCACATAGACATGGACAGTGCCACCCATTCAGAGATCTGTGCCGCCATCATGACTCCTGTGTGCATGCATAGAAGTGACATCATCACGGCTCGGCAATTCAAACGGCTGAAGCCCGCAAACCCGGAAGAAAGACCAGGTGAAGATGAAAGCACAGTCAGGGGTGACAGCGTGGCGCTAAAGGCCTTTGTTTAACGTTATGGCTGTCATAGTGTGCTAGTATGCGATGCACTTTTTTTTTTTTTTGTACCTTTGATTCCAGGTATAGATATTTTATGCATAGTTACACTGGTCTAGCTTGGACTAATGTAACTATGTACACAGGGGTGGACTGACAACTAATGGGCCCCCCGGGCATTAGGGGATCATGGGGCTCCTGTGTCCTTGCCCACACTCAAAGCACACCCAAAAAAAGCCTATAAAAAAGGTACCAGGGGCATTTCATGGGGCCCCCTACTGACCCCGGGCCCTCGGACAGTGCCCGAGTGTGCGAATGGTCAGTCCGCCCCTGTATGTACAGTATATCTAAATGAAAGTTTCTGTAGTTGGAGTTTAAATTTAACCTTCAGGTGGCCCTGCAGGTAAAACTGAAGACTGTGATGGGGGATTTCTCTGAGTCTAAAACTGGCCATAGACTGTGATGGGGAGCTCTCTGAGTCTAAAACTGGCCATAGACAGATAAAAATTTGGCTGGTTCAGTAGGATATAGAGCCGTGTGTGGCTGTCCTCACTAGACACAGGCCCTATTCTGAGAACACTTTGCATTTTCTCAATGAATGCACAATGTTCTCTGATTAGATGAACTGGAGACAGGGCCTTCTTAATAGCATCATGGGCCCCTGGGTAAAGTAATGCACTGGGGCCCCTACCAGGGAGATGGCAACCTGCAGAGTGCTTAGTGCACTGAGGCAAAAAAGTGGGTATAGCAGGGGGAGGGAGGTTAATGTTCACTGCAATGACCACAAATACAGGGGGGTGATGGGTTAAAAGTGCACTACTTTGACAACCATTGCAGATGAGAGGGTTAACTTTCACCACCATTAATCATCAATGTGGGGGGGGGGGGGGGGGTCATTGGCAATGAAAGTTAACCTCCCACATGTATTGGTGGTCATGGTAGTGAATGTTAACCCCCATCCCCCACTCCTGTGTCAATGGGAATGGCAATGAATTCTCTTTCCTCAGTCACAAGCCTCTCTCCCATTGTGATCACAGTACATGATCACAGGCTCCCCACGTCCCTCTCTCCTGGGGCCAGGACTTTGCTTGTACTAGGGCAGAGAAAACAGAAGTCCAGCACCTGGCACACCACTGCCACTCTGTGTGTTGGGGACCATACATTATGGCAGATGTCCCCAGGGCTCCAGTCCTTAGACATAATTTGGGGCAAAGCTGCTGCAGGACAGCCAATTAAAAAACAGGACAGTTGGAAACTATATTATGGGCCCCCCTTGCGCATGGGGCCCCTGAGCAGTACCCAGAGGTGCCCTTGCATTAGGACAGTCCTAACTGGAGACAGTAATGTTACGCCCTCACCTCTCCAACTCTTCCAATCAGAGAATGCTTTGCATTCAATGAAAGAAATGCTAAGTGTTCTCTAATTGGTGCCAATGTCAAGTGAACATCCCCCTTTTTTTTTCACAATACAGCCAGCAAGATACTCACCACAGGACCCATAAGCTAGTGGAGATCACTGTAGTACTGGTGCATGCTACAGTGATTTCCAGCTTCCAGGGGGATCCCACAAGTCTGGCTCATACAAACATGGAGATCACTGGAGTAGTGGCGTCTACACTACGTCAGGGATTTCCAACTTCTTGGTATTGTCCAGGTATGGTATACACAGTTTTATTGGTCAAAGCTGGACCAACTTAACTATGTAAAATTGCCATTACTGGAATTAATCTTTAATTCACAGTAATCACCTTTTAATGCAATGTGTGCAATGGAAGAATGGGAATAACATTGGGCTTATTTAGAAAGGTGGTGCAGAGTTGATGCACATATTTCTCTACCCTATAGCTGCTGGATTTCCTTTTAAGTAATGATTTTAGCTAGCTGCTGGAGATTATTTCAAATGTTTATATCATTATTGCTATTTACACTTCTACTGAAAAATTCCATATCTTTCCCAAAATGGATAGATTTGAAAGAAAACAAAAGACACGGAAATGATACCAAATCTTTGTACTTTAAGTGAACATCAGCATGCACTGGACACTCAAATACTAATATACAATTACTGAACCTCTGCACATATTCAGTGCACAAAACACAGCCGAAAATTGTCTGTGGTTGTTCCTCAACACACAGAGGAGGTGTGTTATCCACGCCGATCATTAATCATTAGCTTTTCACCTTATTAAAACTGAAAGAAAAATCTCACCGTAAATGGATGAAAAAAAAAAATCTCAAATGACTTTCCATGGGAACCCAAGGTAACACTCATTTTCCATGCCCTGTTTTGTTCCATAGCAGACCAGGCTGGCCAAGTCTAACAGATGGCAAGAGCAGGTGTTCCACCAGATGCTATGACCATTTAGCCCAGAGTGCACCTTTAAGTGACTCTCCCTACACAATTTACTGATTCACTAATTGATTAAAGATAAAATGTATTTCATTAACCCCTTCGTATCTGGAGTACTCTGTTCATACAGAATTTAGATATACCTAGTATACTGTTGGTTGTCCTGCTTTCCAATCCAAGTACCCCTCTTTCATACCTTTAGAACTATACTGTGCAAGTATTAAAGCTATGCCTGCATTTTTTTTTTTCCACCTGGTGATCCAGCCAGTAATGCACCCACTTCTTAGGGTGGCTCTGCTCTATGGAGGAGCAATGGAACAATCCTCGGACAGCAGCAGTATCAATTTAGGGTGAGGGTAGTGTTAGATGTCCTGGAGGATTTAAACAGACTTACCTAACAAATGAAAGTTTAATGCTAATACTTTTTAAAGGATAAAGGTTTTGTATACACGAATAAAAGCGGACCATTGTAAGCACCCTTGTCAGTGTTAAAGTGTAACTAAACCCCACAACAAAAAATATATATATTGTAGCTTACCAATCATTGAATATGGAGGCTGCAATAGTTTTTTTTTTTTTCAAACTTGTATTTCTTTATTTTCATGTGGTAGTCGTCAAGTAATACATCTCCTGTCTTATGGTGACTACATTCACCCCTCTGTATCTATCTGTATATAGGGCAGCAATGTAGCCACCCTTGAACAGCATGATTGTCAAGGTGGTCTTAAAGTGTTACTAAACCCAGGACCCTGCATTTACTATATCTGGTCTCCCCCAGTACACAGAACATTCAGTATCGCCTATCAGTGCCAGTCAGTGCTGCCTATTAGTGCTACCCATCAGTGCCATATATGAGTGCTGCCTTTCAGTGCCCATCAGTGATGCCTGTCAATGCCCATCAGTGCCACCTACCAGTGCCTCCTCATCAGTGCCGCCTATCAATGCCGCCTATCAATGCCCATCACTGCAGCCTCATTAGCGCACATCAGTGAAGGAGAAAAATCACTTATTTACAAAAATGTATAACAGAAACAGAAAGAAAAACCTTTTTTCTAAATGTTCATATGTTTTTGGTTTGTTTAGCAAAAAATAAAAAACCCAGGAGGTGATTAAATTCCACTAAAAGAAAGCTCTGTCTCAAAAGAATTATAAAAATTTCATATGGGTACAGTGTTGCATGACCGTGCAATTGTCATTGAAAGTGCAACAGCGCTAAAAGCTGAAAATTGGCCTGGGCAGGAAGGGGGTATATGGGCCCTGTAGGCAAGTGGTTAAAGTGTTACTAAACCCAGGACCCTGCATTCACTATATCTGGTCTCCCACAGTACACACAACATGGAAATGCAATTATTTTAGTAAATACAAAACTTAGTAAATACATACCTTTTCTCATCAGCAGTTACAGCAGTCTTCTGACTTCAGCAAATCACTGGTTAAAGCTTGTAGGAGGAGTTTTTTCTTTCTGCTCTAGGAGGACGCAGAACCCCTGACCCTCTGTTTGGACAGTGCTGATTAGCCCTGTGCTGATCACATGTATTCTCCCAAGAAAAAAAAAAACACCTCTCTAGCAATATAAACTAAACTGAGCATGTGCATGGGGCCAAGGGTTCAGTCTGTCTCAACAGGTGGACATCTGAACAAGAGGAGGAGCAGAGAAAACAGATCAAACAGCCTTTTTACACAATACAGAGAATTAACCCCTTAGGTTCCACAGTGAGTATACCAAGCATGCTTTACTGCATATACAGACTGATTTTACTGTTGTGGGTTTAGTAACACATTAATTGTACTAGTACATTTTGATGGACTTTGGATAAGTGACTACAATTTAAAAAGTGTTTGTTGCCCTAAACAGTTATTTTTTTTCTATGTGTGTGTTCACATATGTGTATTTTATAAATCATAGTCTTGATCATTTTCATGTACTTCTCCCATCTGAGGTACCTGGTTGACTCTGCCAGGCACCTTTCTTTCTTGTTCTAAACTGATCACACAAAGTACAGAAGGAGCTATGCTTGTGAGATCAGTTTTCATCCATTGGTTGTCCATTCAGGGGTACAGGACACACAGCATGAACGTATTGGGTAGTTGTTCAGCTACTACGCCCACCTTGACCAATCACAGCCTGCTTCTGACACACACCCCCAATCACAGCCTGCCTCTTGGCTGAGGCTGAACAGACTATGGAACACAGGCACATTGTATGTCTGCACAGTGTCCTGGGTAGAGTGGAGGCAATTAAAAAGGCAATTGAAGAGCCTGTTTGTGGAAGCTATACATGAATGAATGCCCAAGGAATTCAGAAATGTGCACACACCATTCTAGCTCACTTCTCTTGCACCTGGTAGTTGGTGGAAAGCTAGGAATGTGACCCAAATGCTGGAATTTTTAAATGTTTTTGGTTTGTTTTTTTACTCCGTCCCACCCCCTCCTAACCCACTTTTTAAGCTAGTCAATGGTTGCTGTAAGGGGTAGAGTCCCCAGAAAATATCTTTTTGTTATTGCCTTTAACAATATTGGATGCTTACTTTACATTATTATATGTGAGATATGCCTCAAATAAAAGCATTTCAGCAGGGGCGGACTGACCATTTGGAAACTCTGTCGCTGCCCGAGGGCCCGGGTTCAGTAGGGGGCCCCATGAGATACCCCTGGTACCTTTTTCATAGGCTTTTTTGAGTTTGGGCAAGGACACAGGGGCCCCATGATCCTCTATTGCCCGGGGGTCCCATGAGTTGTCAGTCCGCCCCTGCATTTCAGTTTCCTTTGCTGAAAATGTTTCTTTTTAATTATTTTGAAAAAATACCTTTTTAAGTATATGTAAACTCTCACCCTAAAACTACCAACTGAGTTTAAAATAGAAATGAAAGGCAACACATTTGTGTATAGATATAAAAAACATTACGAATACCTTTTTTCCCCCTGTTTAATAAGTGATCACGTTCCCTCTAAGCTCATTATGAAGCCGAGTGTTCTAGCTGTCTGGGCCTGGCGGGGGGGGGGGGGGGGGGGATGGTGTTGGTTGTATGGGTGTATGTGTGAATGGGGGCCTGATTATTGGAGGAGAGCAGGCTGAGTTTCCAGCACAGCTAAAGAACTGACCAGGCTGGGCTCTCATGCCAAGTGTGGTCAGTTTTTGATAGGAAAGCAGAGGGACTGGCAGGGACACCAGGGATTTCACACAAAGTAAGCAATAAAAAGAGAACAGGATACTTTTCATACAACTACATGGTAAAGCCAGGGCCAGTACTAGACTATTTTACACCCTTGGCAAAACCAGCTGCTTGAGCCATCCCCCCCCCCCCCCAAAAATGAATACATTAAAAAAAAAAAAAAAAACACAGTAGAAAGTATTAAATCAGCAAAACAAGAAACTGCTAAATCTGTTTTAATTTGCAAACATAAGTGCTATAGGATGCCACCAGCACCAATATTAAAGACAAAATATATATTAACCAAATATAAATTAACTGTATTAACCAATCAGACAGAGAAACATACAAAATAAAGACAGAGTTACAAAACTCCACAGTGATCAACAGCTGCCAGCCAGCATGCAGTAAGGGACCGCGTCTGAGAGGAACACTGGAAGGAGCAGCAGCAGCTCAGCTGCTACATTGGCCCCAGACATCCAGCATCTTCCTCTTTCCTTTTTTCCTCCCCCTCTGGAGCCCCTCCCATCAGCCGAAGGATCATTCATGACGTGGCGGCATCCCACACAATCAGCATCCGCTCCCCTCATCCCCGACTATTGTCCACCTCCCTCCTCCTCCTGTCACTTACATCACCCATCATCCTTCTAGGCTTGGCTCACCTCTGATGGCTCTGCCAGGGTGTGGAGTCCAGGCTGCTGCTCTCAGTGAGGACAGGCGACCTTCCAGCACTACACTACTTCCCTCTCATACACATCGGGCCCCGATCATCCTACTCACATAGGGTTATATGGTCATGTGTGTGGACAGGCTGTGAGACAATTGTGCACAGTAAAGATACCGCAATTCTCTCATCATTCCCTGTGTATGAGGAGAGGGGACTTTGCAGGGAAATGGAGAATTCATACAAGAGGTCCCAAGGCCACACAGGGAGAGGCAGCACACACTAGGCTGTTTGATCCTGACTTCTCTGATCCTCCCCTTCTTCTAGTGTCCCCCTTTTATCCCCTGATAAGACATATGGGTGGAGTCACACAGCACATGCTCAGTTTGATGTGTATTGCTAGAAAGTTAGTTTTTTTTTTCTTCGGAGAGTGCAAGTGATCAGCACAGGGCCAATCACACTGCCAAGACAGAGGGTCAGGATTCTGCATCCTCCTAGAGCAGAATGAGAACTCCTCCTACAAGCTTTAAAACAGTGCTCTGCTGGACACTGATAGAAGTCACAAGACTGCTCTAACTGCTGATGAGAAAAGGTATTTAGCAGTTTATAAATATAGGGTTCCTCCTGCGCTTCTATATGGTGATCAATATGTAGATAAGCGGCCAACACTCTACCTTAAACCTTATAAGTAAATGTGCAAATAATAATAATAATTGTGTAGTGTAATTTTCTGATTGCATTTTATATGTAAGCACTTGTTACTTTGGTTAGGAGATTTATCCCCTAATTTGGGGGATTCACGGATGTTTTGCACCAGTCTGCGTGTTTTTTATCTGTAAAATCCCTGGTAGGTATCATTTTGGAGGGTGGATATTGACGTTATCATTGATTTTTCACTACATGAGGTCCTGATTGAGGACCAGTTTGTCATTTCACGTTGCTTTGCACTACGTTTTTTGGCACTAATTAGATCCTTATTGGATCATATCACTATAGTTTTGCTCATCTGCATGTTTATTTATTTAATTTACATATTAATAATTATCACATATTATGGTATATAAATTCTTATTATGTATTAGCGCTACACTATTATTATTTGCATATTTAGCAGTTTATATTTACTAAAATAAGTGTACTTCCATGTTCTCTGTACTGTGGGAGAGCAGATAAAGTGAATGCAGGGTCCGGGGTTTAGAACCACTTTAACACTAATTGAAGAGCTGCTTAGTTTTGTACAGCTCAAGAAATACAGTGCTTTCTGGTTTAAACTGTGCTCAGTATTGGAAATGCACTGGAAAAGAATAGTTTTTATCCTACTAAAACATTTATGGTCAAAAGGAAGTCTAGGATAGATCTAATCAAGTTTAAAACTGCTTCCACCACCTTCACAATTACTATTCTAACTACCCTGCAGCAGGAAGATGCATATACTTACCTATTCTCAGGGTGCTCCAGTCCGGTCATGTGACTGGCTTCCAATGGCCAGCTTCAGGGGAGAGGAGGGACAGCTAACAGATGCTCCATAGTAAGCCTATGGGTGATGTCACAGACAAGGCATTCCATCCATTGTCAGCGCTCTCTCCTCTCCCCTGAAGCTGCTAAGAAGACCATGTGACTGGACCAGAGTGCCCTGATAAGTACCTATATGCCCCTTCCTTTTACAATATAGTTAGAATAGGGGTTAGGAAGGGGGGTGGTTGCCATTGTAAGTTTAAATCCTAGGTTTCCACACTGTATTTCAATTATTTCTTGCCTATTCTTAATAATCTGAATCATCTTGAAGTGTGTAAACTTATTTTGACTCCTAAATATTTACTTCTTTGAATTCCGTGACATGTATTTACTATACCTTGTGAGTATTACTGCTGGGTCACACATTTCTCAGAGCCTACTTTCTGAACCACAGAGCTGCTGAGAGGAGGAGTTTCAGGAGGCGGAGTCAGTACAGGAATCACTGCTTGTAGGAAGCAAGGTAACGTGGGTAAGTAGTCAGAGGAGAAGCTGCAAAGCATGCAGGGAATCCAGGAAATTGTGGAACGAGATGGCCAGCAGACAGGCAGAGCTCACAACATGAAATAAAGGGATGCAAAAAAACTACCTTTCTAAAATCTAAAGTTCTAAGTCATTAGAAACCCCTGTAAAAACCCCGGTTCAGGATGTGCACGTACATACACACACTTCCAATTCATTTTCTCTTTATCAGTCTTTTCCAGTTTATTTAAGTACATTCAGTACATAATAATGAGTTTAGCGTAAAAGACAATCAAATATTTGCCAATTAAAGGACTGACATGAAGTAGAACATAATTGGAGGGGCACATAATCAACACACATTGTTTTCAACAATTATCCGGAGAGCATGTCATAACTTTAATAACGCAAGGCATGAAAAATGGCATCTCTGTAACCATTTCCACAGTCAACTTAGATAATTAAATGTATGCAGCTAAATTAATCCACTGCAGCAGAAAAATGGTGTTGGTTATTCTATTATTAATGAAGATTGTCCCAGGATGTTTGTTTTAAAAAACAAATGCTTGATTCCACCTGTCAAAACTTGCCCATAGTATACAGGAAATTTATGGATCAAGAAGAATATTTATCACGAATATTGTCAGAAGAAGATTCAGATCCCATACTTTTAATAAAG